CACACACCAACACACCTGTAAGATCCATATGTTCTTCAAATAATAAAATTGTTTCTCCTGTTCCTACTGCTGTATCTTATGCTTCTACTGCCAACAATCCTTCATAACATGCATATCTCATGGAAATAGTGTTGACCACTTATGGCATAATAGATTGGGACATGTGCCTTTTATAAAAATGAAGAGGATTTCCTCCATCCCAATAACCTTTTCGTCCAAACAACCCTTCATGTGTACTGTTTGTCCAATGGCCAAACAGACTAGACTCCCATTTAACCCTTCATGTGTACTGTTTGTCCAATGGCCAGACAGACTAGACTCCCATTTCCAACAAAAACCATTGTCTCCAGCTCCAAACCTTTTGATCTCCTTCACATGGACTTGTGGGGACCCTATCATGTTTCAACCCATGACAATTACAAGTATTTTTTACCATAGTTGATGACTTTAGCAGATCAACATGGACTCACCTTTTAAGTTGCAAAACTAACACACTTCATGTCATGAGCTCTTTTGTAACTCTTGTGGAAAACCAATTTAACACCACTGTCAAGTCAATTAGGACTGACAATGGGACAGAATTCACCAATAATGAGACAAATAAATACCTCCAAAACAAAGGAATAATACATCAAAAATCCTGCCCATACACACCACAGCGAAATGGTGTGGTTGAGAGAAAACATAAACATCTCCTTGAAGTTGCCAGAGCCCTTTTATATCAGTCCAAACTTCCCACCAAGTATTGGGGAGAGTGTATTCTGACAGCAACCTACTTGATCAATAGACTCCCAAACTCAGTTCTTCATGATGAAACCCCCTTTGAGACATTATACAACACACACCCACCTATTCTCATCTCAAATCCTTTGGATGCTTATGCTTTCCTACCCTAAAGACTCATAAAGCAAAATTTGACCCCAGATCCACACCTCACATCTTCATTGGATACCCTTTCAACACAAAAGGTTACAGAGTCATTGATATATGCACTAAGAAGATACATGTTTCCAGGGATGTGGTTTTTTATGAAAATGTCTTTCCTTTTGCATCTTGTGATTCTGAGTCTGACACAAGTTTTTCCACTGTATTAAAGAAATTCACCTCTGCTTCAAATGTATTGAGCTTAACTAATAATTCTAATAATATTTTTGACAATATTGATGTTTTGGATGATAGCACCACCTCAAATGTCATCTTACCTGAACCTACCTCACCACCTGAAGCACTACCAGCTGATCAACCATCAAATGAACAATTATCAAGAACTCACATTTTGCCAGAAACCACCACTCATCAAAACCAATTACCAAACACCAGAAAATCCAACAGACCACATATTGTTCCTGCTTATTTGAAAGAATATGACTACTTCCTACCTTCCTCAACACACCACTCTTCCCCTAAAAATCATTATTCACTCACAAGTTTCAACCAAGATAGTCAACAGCTGGTTAGAAATATTTTTCATGACAGGGAACCAGTTTCATATGAAGATGCAGTGTCTGACCCTGCTTGGCAAGCAGCAATGACATCTGAATTTGAAGCCATGTATGCCAACCACACTTAGGACTTAGTTAAACTGCATGTGGGGAAGAAAGCAATAGGTTGTATGTGGGTTTATAAAATCAAGCACAAAGCTGATGGGACAATAGAGAGATATAAGGCCAGATTGGTTGTGAAGGGATATTCTCACCAGTGGTCAAAATGACCACTGTTAGGACACTGATCAGCTTAGCGGTAAAGAAAGGGTGGGATATGTATCAGTTGGATGTAAATAATGCCTTCCTTCATGGAGACTTATATGAGGAAGTGTACATGGACATACCTCCGGGTCTTATGGTGCAAGACACAAGATTGGTTTGTAAACTCAAGAAGTCTTTATATGGTTTAAAACAAGCAAGTAGACAATGGTACGACAAGTTGGCTCAAGTATTGTGCTCAAGAGGCTATTCTCATTCAGACAGTGACTACTCTTTGTTTTACAGAAAGATTGGTTCTTCTCTGGTTTTTGTTGTTGTTTATGTAGATGATGTGATCTTGACAGGCACTGATGAGCATGAAATCACTTCCTTGAAGGCATTCCTTCATGATGAATTCAAGATAAAGGACCTAGGAAGACTTCAGTACTTCCTAGGATTGGAGATACTTTACAAAGATACATGAGTTCTAATTTCTCAAAGAAAATTCACCACAGATTTGTTGCAGGAGTTTGATTGTTCAGACTGTAAACCAGTTATGTCCCCCCTAGAATCCACAATCAAGCTCAAGGTTAATGAGGGTGCTCTACTGAAAGACCCTACACATTACAGAAAGCTGGTAGGTAAGCTGAATTTTTTAACCAATACAAGGATAGATATCGCCTTCAGTGTCCAACATCTTAGTCAATTTCTCCAATCTCCTAGAGAACCACACCTCAAGGCTGCATATCATGTGTTGAGATACCTTAAGGCTGATCCTTGCCTGGGAATTTTCCTATCCAACAGTACAGATTCTAGCGTTACTGCATAATGTGATTCAAACTGGGCTTCGTGTCCTGATTCTAGAAAGTCAGTTAGTGGTTTCATTGTCTTGATGGGTGATAGTCCCATCAGTTGGAAGTTTAAGAAACAAACAACCATCTCATTGTCCTCAGCAGAAGTAGAGTACAGGGCTGTTAGAAAGGTAGTGGGAGAACTGGTGTGGCTAGAGAGACTGCTGACTGAATTACACCAACCATGTAACTTGCCTGTGTCTGTTTTCTGTGATAGTCAGGCAACTGTTCATATAGCAAGAAACCCTGTGTTTCATGAGAGGACAAAACATATAGAGGTGGATTGCCATTTTGTCAGAGAAAAGCTACAAGAAGGCCTCATTGTACTTCACCACATACCAACTGGAGATCAACTGGCTGATGTTCTGACAAAACCTTTACCTAGTGCTCAACACTCTATTTTACTGCACAAGCTGGCTGTGAGTTACTCACCTCCAACTTGAGGAGGGGTATTAAGATATATGGTTTAGTTTTATACTTAATTTTATGTATAAGCTAGAAAGTAATTAGAATAGCTGAACTATCAAAGTTAGTTAGCTGTCAGAGTTAGTTAGAAGTGTATCAACTGAACATTCTAGAAGTTGATTTCGAGCATCTAATTAGTTAGTGTTAGATATTTTTTCATCATGTATATAATGTTGAACACTTGGCATGAATGAATTAATTTTTCATTTTCCCAAATTACAGATTGTATATTCCTCTCTGTTCTTATCCCTCAGTTTCAGTTTTCGCTCAAGTGTTCATTAATGGAGAACTGTGATTCTCCTCAGTTTAACAGTATACATCCCTGTCATTTGATTTTTCTTCTCTTTTATTGATACCTGAGGAATATAAGAGGGGTATTGCAAGAAACATGTTTCAACAAGTTGTAATTTTATCACAAATTCCAAGTGCAAGTAGTTTAGATTAGAGGATATCTTTCAGTTTATGTGGCAACATCATGATAATCATATACGACTATACACTAATGCCTCAATTTTTATCAAGCCTACCATCATCAACATACTGCACAAGGAGATTCAGGCCAATAGCAAGCTCTCACGAACTCCCCATAACAACATATATCAACACTAGAACTCCAACACTACTATCTAGAATAATTAAAATTAAAAGATATACGCTTCAAAATCAACAAAATAAAGAGATAAAAGTAATTTTTTTTTTAATTGACACATACTTAAGCAAATTTAAGGATCAAGGTTTGTAAATACATCATATCCTATTCTATAAGAAGTTTTCCTTTTAAATTCAACATTACGAGAAGTTAAAGGAAGAGATATTAGTGCTAAATTGTTTAACGAATCTCATTTAAAAGTTTGAACCGTTAAAAGTATAAGGCACAATTAAACATAATAACAAAGTAAGTAGAGGTCCTAAGTTTTAAGTGCCACTACCACCTATTATCAAGAAAGTATTTTACATATTTGACCTATAAAAAGATCAAATTCGCACATGAGAACAAGAGATGATCGATCTACTTAAATGTAACTAAGAGTAAATAAAAGTGTGTCTCTCTAACGACTTAAGATTACAGATCAATTGGCCACACACAATTCAAGAACTGACACCTCGTCTTTATTTGTTATACCCGAGAAACGCAAAAATTGGCAATAGATAAGCTTCATAGTAGTCCTGCTTGAAAATTTTAACTTTATATTTTATTCACCAACTAATGATTGAGAATAATCCTAGAAAAATGAGAAGATGTCAAGCTCTGCATAGCTTTAAGTTTGAAGAAAAAAAGGTAATTCTTTTGAGGATAAAAAGTTCCAATAACTAAGTAGATGAGTTAATTATAAGAACTTGGTTGTTTAGTATAACTCAACAGCTACTGAGTTCTCTGATTCCTTTCTGCAGTATCATTGATATTAAGTTGTTGTAGCTCAATGTTGATCATCTCATTAGGCAGTGACTACAATTCCTTTTCTCCTCTTTTTTTGGTTAAATATGAAACTAAATGTACTCATATTTAATGAGTATTAACCATGTCTCTAAATTTTATACATGTCCCAAATAAAGAGTCACGTGAGCCTCTCTCTTGTCACAACTCGAAAATACATTTTCCCTTTTCAGGTTATAGCTAATAATAGCAAGTACTAAATAATAATTATAATCACAACTAGCAGCCTTAGTATACAAAACCAACTCTCTTGCCTTCTTTCGATAAGACAACATTCTTATATTATACAAACTATTAATGTTGCATAAACAAATCTTGTAGAAACAACATTGGAATGACGGCATATCACAACAAATAGAGGTTCAGTTCCTAAAGACTTATATGAAAGAGAATTTCTATCAAATTCTTGGGAAATATGTAAAATTGTATAGTAATAGCAACTCGTACAACTTAACATTCTGCATCTTTTTGAATTCATTCCCCTGAACTTGATTTTGTACATATTTCTTAATCCAACCTTCAATCAAGTCAAAAAGAAATTATGATAAAAAAGCAACAACAACAACATAACCGGTATAATCTCACTATGTGGGGTTTTGGAGATGATAGAGTGTTGCAGGCCGTACCACTACCTCATGAAAGTTGAGAGATTATTTCCAAAAGACCCTTGTCTCAAGATAACTCTATCTTACCTGATCATAAAATTATCACTGAGAATTTTTCAACATATTAAAACTAATTTTCATATTTGTATGAAAGTAGTTATTGAAAATATAAATTGTACCTGTATCTAAGGCATAGGGTGCATAATATACAGTACTTGACTCGTGGAAATTAGGATAAGAATATGAATAAACTTAACAAGCTGACAAAAAGTAACATACCATAATGTTCAAGAGGGGAAACAACAGGCGGCAATGAAATCGGTACGTACAAAAACTTTATTTGCACTCAAGTTCTCATGAGCTGAATAAGTTATAAAACCACTTGATATTGCTCCTGATCATAAGAAAAAGCTGCAGCAATGGCTTATCATCAAGTCTTCATCAAATCAGTTTATAAATATATTCAGTTCATGAAACAGGAAAAACAAAACCTCTGTACATGTGATTTTTGCTCCATGCAAACACTTCTAAATTAAAATTAAATTACTAATGAAAATGGAAAAAGGAATAGACAAGGTTTGTCAAGAAATTCAGCACAAAAGGTTAATACAAAACTTTGCGCAAACAGCTTCTGTATCTACGGAAGACAGTACAACATAAAAATTCAAAATTAGAAACTACATATATTTCATTATAGTTTCAACTCACTGTAATATCTAACTTGTATTACACATCTTCTCTACTATATAATGAACAACATTGTCTTAAAAGCACACCACTTGCACATCCTTTTATGAGTAAATCCGTTATACTTCTAAACCGTTAAACCAGAAATTCATTAGTTATGTCCTGTTAGTTTACGCAGTCCTCGCCGAAATAGGATTCCCATCAAGCATAGCTTGAATGAGTCCCATAGCTCTTGACATTATTAGTGGATATTTTGAGGGCCAAGATCTCCACCGGACTTCATAAAACAAGTTATCTTTTGCTTGGGTGTTTGCAATTTTTTAATTTCTTTCACTCGAAATGCATAGTGAATTTGCTCTCTATAGCATTTTCTTTTGTTGCCTAAATAATCTTACTCTTTGTTTTTCAATCATATAATTTGTTAACCATGCAACATACTAAATGTGTATGTGTAGAACAAAGGTTCTTCTATTTCATAGTACATATTAGATACACCATTACATCAAAAATAAAGTTTTGTTTTGACCACACAAATATTTATTTCTTATCTAGTTCATGGGTTTAGAAGCCTCCAATTGAAATAGAATTAGTCATCTTTCTCTTTAAATTCAAAAGCATCACTGCCTACCACTCTGGGTGCAAAAAAAAACTACTTAGTTTAGCTCTAGAATGACAGAAAGGATTAGCCAAATTATTCAATAATCACAATCATTCACCACCTTTATTTTCAATCAAAGATACCACCAAATATCTTCTAAGTTTAATAACACAAGCATACAAAAATATTAATAAAAGTAGATAGAAAATCATGTAAAATGAACCCTACTTAAAACATAGAGAGTAAATTTATGATCAGACAAACTCTGTGTTCCACAACTGCAATTGATGGTTAAGACTGCAGAAACATACCTAGATGAGCAGGAAATAAGAATGCTAGTTTCTTTGTGCAACTATCGATGACGACGAGCAGACAGGTTGAGAACAATCAGAAAATTAATTTCTTTTCTTCTTCTTTTGTAGTTAACAATAGAATCCACCAACCAAATAGTTCAAAACCAAAATGGCTTAGTTTGATGTAAAATGGTCGCGAAAACTACAATAGATGAAAAAAAAAAAAAGAATAGCATACCCATATTCAACACACTGAATCACATCTCTAGGTTTTAGGGTAATCTCCGGCCCTCAATCTCCATAGATGTAATTGAGGTGCTCGCTTACTGGGTCCTTTATCAGCAATTGAGATTGCATCAGCTCCAAATCGATAAATTTTAAGAATTTTGGAAGAAAGTCCATTCCTTTTAACAAAACCTAACATATTTTTGGGATCAAAAGAGATAATTCTGAGGTTTTTGTTTCTCGGGTTTGGAGAAAATGGGGGAAAAGGTAGTGGGCCTTATTTTTTAATTAATTACTTAATTTTAAATGAGGGGATATTATTAATTTTAAGAACCAAATATTATCCTTTAATTAAAAGAGAACTAAAAAGAGCCTTTAACAACCGGAAATAAAATTAGTCGTTATAAGTACACTAATAACGACTAGATTCATTTCCTTTCGTTAAGAATTGGTCGCTAAAAGTCAAGTTTCTTGTAGTAATAAATGCACATAGTGGAGGAATAAAATTCTGTTACAGAATAGTACAATAGCAGTAGGACAAGTGTACAAAGCATTTTCTTTTCTATTTTTTTACATACAAAAACTTGTATAAATATAAAAGAAAAAGATGAATACAACAGTGAAAAATTCTGCAAATCATTTTTTCAATTCTTACATGGTATCAGAGCAATAGCTTGATCCAAGAATTTGCATTCAAAAACCACAATCAACATCATGACTGGAGAAACTCCAATCAACACAAACACCACCATGAATCCCATCAACACAAGATCTGTGAAAGGAAACTATGTTGATATCAATCACCCCTTTTACCTCCATTCTTCATATGCTCCAGGGCAAACTCTTGTCAAGCTCCATTTGATGGAAAAGGCTTTCCAGGATGGCGTAGATGTGTGTTCATAGCTCTTTCTGCTAAGAACAAATTGGGTTTTATCAATGGCACAATAACTCCACCAGATTTGAATGATGCAGAATATCAACGATGGAGTCGCTGTAATCACATGATCACATCTTGACTCCTCAATTCAGTCTCCAAGGATATAGGGGACAATGTCATATATTCCAAAACATCTTGAGACTTGTGGATGAGCCTTGAACACAGATTTAGGCAACTAGTGGAGCAAAACTTTTCCACCTGCAAAAGGAAATCGCATGTTTAGTTCAAGGTACTCTTGACATAGCTGGGTATTTTACTAGACTTAAACAATTGTGGGATGAACTAGATTCATTAAATGCTGATATAGTATGCTCTTGTGTATGTGTGTGTGATGGACAAAGAAAACTAATTAAATCTTTGCAAGATCAGAAGCTTATGCAATTTTTAATGGGGTTAAATGAAGTATATTCACAGGCAAAAAGTAACATACTCATGAAAAATCCTCTCTGTACTCTTGATTATGCATATTCTCTCTTGTTACAAGATGAAAATCAAAGGGAAATATTTGCTAATGCTCAGTTTCCTAGTGAAACTGCCTCATTCATAGCAGGAAGGCAGGAAAGACCATCTCAAAGGCCTGGAAAACAACCTCAAAGGAATGGTTTTCAATCTCAGAGACAGAAAAACCCTACACAGAGGTTTGGACAAGCAAATCGAGCTCAAAGGTCTGGGAATCAACCATACAAGAACAATGACAGGAAGGTGAAAAACAACCTAAATATAAGTTGCACTTACTGCTTTAAAATAGGTCATGAAGAAATAGACTGCTTTAGATTATATAGGATACCCAGATGACTTCCAATTCAGACATTCAAAGGAACATCAAGGAGGACCAAGAGGAAATGTAGCAGTAGCAGAAGAAATTTGTAAAAATGCATAGAGCCAAGCATTGATAGCTGCATAGATGGAGAATTCAGTCAAAAGCAAATGTCACAAATGATGAACATGTTCAAGCAGTTTGAAATGGGAAAGGCAGGAGCTTCAGGATCAGAAATTAATGTCAATGTTGTGGCTGGTACTATTCTTAGATACTCAGTTCACGTTTTAAAACTATTGATCATAATACTTGGATTATTGACACAGCGGCTTCTGAGCAATATGTGCTATAACTCTAATTCCCTTTTCAAACTTATCCCTCTTCTTGTTCCATTAACCATAAGTTTGCCTAATTCTTTCAAAATAATGTGACACACATAGGTAGTATATCCATTCAGCCTGCTTTAACTCTGAATAATGTTCTCTATGTTCCAGATTTCAAATATAATTTGTTATCCATTCACAAATTATGTTGCCAATTTCAATGTTCTGCTCATTTTAATTATGTTGGGTGTATGTTGCAGGCCCCTTTTATGAAGAGGGGACAAGCTTTTGGTGAAGTAAGGGAAGATCTTTACCTACTACAACAAGCTAGTTCTCAGGAGTCTCTCTTAAACAGAATGTAGTTCATTTTCGAAAGAAAGCTACTTCCAGTCATGTTTCTAGTTCCTCTGTCCCTATGTCTTTTAATTTTATTTCCAATGTAAACCTTTGGCATTCTAGACTGGGACATTTGCCCTTCTCAGTAATAAAGAATTTTAATTTCATCAAAGTTCCTGCAAATTCTGATTTCATTTGTGATGTGTGTCCACAAGCTAGGCAAACTAGACTCCTTTTTCCCACTAGTAACATTAAATCAAAAGGAATTTTTGAATTACTTCACATCGACACTTGGGGCCCTTACAAATGTGTTACTTACAATAGATACAAGTATTTCCTTACTATAGTAGATGACTATAGTAAGGGTACTTGGACATTCCTTCTAACCACCAAATGTAATGTTTCTCTTTTAAAAAGTTTTCTATGCATGGTGGAGAGGCAGTTTAATGTGAAAGTGAATTGTATTAGGTCAAACAATGCGTTTGATTTAGGGAAACGATCAGAATAATTAGCTTTTCTCAATAAAGAAGGCATTTTACATCAAACATCTTATGTTGCAACCCCTCAACAAAATGGCATTGTTGAGAGGAAGCATCGACATTTACTGGAAATTGTAAGGGGACTCATATTCCAGTCAAAGGTACCTACTCATTTCTGGGGTGAATGTATCTTGACTGCTACACATTTGATCAATGTATTACCCTAAAAAATCCTTAGAGGTAAGTCTCCTTTTGAGATTTTATTTGGAGAAAAGCCTCAATATAACAGTCTCAGAAGTTTTGGTTGCCTATGTTATGCTTCTACTTTGGCCCAACACAGGGGAAAATTTGAGCCTAGAGCTACTGCTTGTGTATTCATGGGTTATCCTCAAACTCAAAAGGGTTACAAATTGATGGAATGGAGTACAAAGAAGATGTTTTTTTCTAGAGATGTCACTTTTCATGAGCATTGTTTTCCCTTTGCAAATCAACCCACTCATTCCCCACTCATTATCCCAGATCCACCAAATTATATAGACTTTTCTAAATCAGATATCATTTCACCTTACCTCACAAATCCTCCACAACATCCACCTCATACAGATCCCACCCCTCCCTGTCCAATCGGCTCTCCCCAAGCTCATATTTCTGATCTTCATCCCACCATCACAACACCTACGGTTAATCCCATTAGAAAATTAGGAAGGGTGATCATTAAGTCTAGCTACTTACAAGATTTTGTTTACAATAATATTATTCTCACTAATTTCACAGAAGAGTGTCTTGTTCCACCTGTTAATGTCAGTGCTTATTCTTTTAATGCTCTTTCTTTTCCTAATCAACAATTTCTTACATCAATTTGTGAGTTGTCTGAACCTACAAGCTACAAACAAGTCTGCAATTACCCAGATTGGAACAGAGCCATGGATGCTGAATTACAAGCACTCAAACAGAATCATACTTGAGAGGTGGTGAATTTATCTGTTGGTAAGAAACCCCTTCCATGTAAATGGGTTTATAAGGTCAAACATAACTCTGATGGTAGTGTGGAACGATTGAAGGCTACATTGGTGGTAAGGGAGGACATCCAAAGGAAGGGATTGATTTTACAGAGACGTTCTCACCTGTGACCAAAATGACTACAATCAGATGTCTATTGACAGTAGCTGTAAAGAGAGGATGACATGTTTCTTAACTTGATGTAAACAATGCCTTCCTGCATGGGAATTTGCAGGAAGAAGTTTACATAAAGTTTCCCCAGGGGTTGAGCCAAACAAATCTGATCAATTCTGTTTATTGAGAAATCTCTCTATGGTCTGAAACAATCCTCAAGGCAATGGTATGCCAAACTTGCTGGAGCTTTACAATTCAAAGGCTATTCTAGTTCTTTGAATGATTATTCATTGTTGTATAAACGAACAAGTGATCTAATTTCAACTATCACTCAGTTTGTCAAGAAGTGATGTTTCCAAAATTTCAACTATCACTCAGTTTCTCAATTCAGAATTCAAAGTCAAGAATCTAGGTAACATTAACATTAACTACTTTCTTGGTATGGAAATTCTGCGAGAAAACAAAGGATTTTTAATTACTCAAAGGAAGTTTACCATGGACCTGTTGCAAGAATTTGACTCATTTGGTCCTGCAGTAGCATCTCCCCTGGATCCTTCCTGCAAGTTACACAACAATGGTTTTCCATTATTGGACAATCCCACTATATACAAACACCTAGTTGGAAAATTAAACTACCTCACGCATACTCGATCAGACTTATCTTTTGCAATTCTGATCCTAAGTCAGTTCATGCAAAGTCCCTGCCTTGATCATTACACTGTTGCACTTCGAGTTTTGCGATACTTTCGTGTAGATCCAGCACAAGGTATCCTCCTCTCTGCTGATCCTTCTTTTGATTTATTGGCTTTTTGTGATGCAGATTGGGCATCTTGTAAGGACACAAGAAGATCTGTAAGTGGATTTTACATCACTCTAGAAGAAGCTCCTATTTCCTGGAAATCAAAGAAACAAACCTTTTTTTCTCTATCTTCCAGTGAAGCTGATTACAGATCAATGCGTAGGGTGACAACTGAAATTACCTAATTACCTGGCTAGTACGACTTCTGGATGATCTCTCCGCACCGCTGATCCTCCCGATTCCCATCCACTCAGATAGTTAGGCAGCCCTCAACACTGCCAAAAATCCAGTCTTTCACGCAAGAACCAAGCATGTGGAGTTAGACTGTCATTTTATTCGTCAACAGTTCATATCTGGTCTTATCACTCTCTCTTTTGTTCCATCCAAGCACCAACTTGCGGATCTATTTACCAAGCCATTATCGGGAGCTTCTCATCGTGATCTGATTAGTAAGTTGGGGTTTTATCTCTCCCCTCCAATTTGAGGGGGGATGTTGAAAAATTGAAGCTCACAAATAACGTTC